ATATATATCTATCTATCTCTATATATCTATGTATAAATAAATAAAAATAATCCGAAATATACATATGTCCATATACATAATTACATAAATAATTTAATAAATATACACGTAGACTTCAAAAATATAAATATGTCTATATATTTAAATTCTACGTGCATATTTACGGAATATTTTTACATAATTAAGTAATTTTATTGATTGCAATTTGAGGGACACGCCTGAGAATCCAGGCTGAAAGTCCAGAGAATTTAATTTGCTAGCACTGTGTTTAACCCTGTAACTTTTTATGACACCCTAAAACCTGTGCATGAGGGTACTGTTTTACTCGGGAGGCTTCGCTGAACACAAATATTAGTCTTTCAAACCAGTAAAACATATCATAGCGTTGATAGTCAGTGAAAGTTTCTTTTTTTGCATTTTTCACACACAAACGGCACTTTCACTGATGATATTATTGCTGTGATACGTTTTACTGTTCTGAAACACTAATATTTGTGTTCAGCGAATTCTCCCAAGTATAACAGTACCCCACATGTAGAGGTTTTATAGTGTTTTTGAAAGTTAAAGTGTCAACTATAAGGCTTGATTTGCCTTTTTAATTTTTTTAAACGAAATTTGTCTGATTGGTTATGTTGCCTTTGAGAGCGTATGGTAGCCCAGGAATGAGAATTACCCCCGTGATGGCATACCATTTGCAAAAGACGACCACCCAAGGTATTGCAAATGGGGTAGGTACAGCCTTTTTTTAGTAGCCACTGACCAATGTTAGCGTTTTTGCTTTTTTAACACGCAAACAAATATAAATGCTAACTTTGGCCAGTGTTTGTGATTAAGTGGCTACTAAAAAAGACTGGACATACCCCATATTGAATATCCTAGGTTGTCTAGTTTAAAAAAAAAAATATGTACATGTGGGGTGTGATTCACAGATTTATGACAGATAATAGTGTTACAATGTCACTATTAATACATTTAGAAAATATATATATTGAAACAGCAATTTCCTACTTGTACTTATAGCCATATAACTTGCAAAAAAGCATGTAACCACTGTGTGGTTTTTAAACTCTGGACAAAATTTTGAATCTATTTTGCAGTTTTTTTCCATTAGCTTTTGCAGATAAGTAAAAGATTTTTCAATTGAAAGTAAAAATGTTTTTATTTTTTTCTTTCAATTTTTCACCATATTTTTTCTTTTTAAGTAAAATATATGACATGATACAAATAATGGTATGTAAAGAAAGCCCTTCTTGTCCTGAAAAAAATAATATTAAACTTGTATGGGAACAGTAAATGAGAAAACGGAAAATTACAGCTAAACACAAACACCACAAAAGTGTTAAAACCACTCTGGTCCTTAACGTACAACGTCGCAAAAACAGGCCGGTTAAAGGTGCGCATTAGAATTAAATACGTTTATATATATATATATATATATATATATATATATCTTTCTAGTGATATCTGCTCCATATTCTAAAGATACATACTTTTTACTGATAACTTCCTTTTGAAGGTAGAGAAAGTATAATAGTTTTCATAGAGGACAGGTTTTTTTTTTGTTGTTTTTTTGAATGGTCCGAATGATCTGTTCTTTTTTTCTTAAATAAATGTTTCAATAATCGGTAGAAGTTAAATTAGACTTTATAACAATTTTGTTTAAAAAAAAGAAAATGTATCATGGACAGCTAATTACTAACAATGTTCTATTTCTATTTTCTTTTCTTTCTTTCTTTTTTTTTTTTTTTTACAGAGTGTGCATGGGCCTTATCCATTTGGAGAATCCTAAAAGAAATTGAATTTTCCCCTAAATGCCCGTGTCTATATATTTTTTTTCTTCCACCCAGACATTCTGAACCAAGATCACTCTGCTGAAGGATATTGAGGAAGATGGTCTGCTACCCTGTGAAATATGTTCAGGGTGCTTCCTTTTTTCCTACTGCTGAGAGAAACCCTGCATACCAAGCTTACCATTTACATTTCCTATTCAATGGAAGCATATATTGTGGAAATCTGAGGTAGGAAGGAAGACGGGTGCAAGAAGTTTTGGGTATAGGGAGTGGTGTGGACTTTAAATTTGAAATTCTACAAGTCCTAATCCATGAAGGATACCAAGGATACAAGGATAAAAATGACACCTCTTTCATTCTTTCACATACAGATCGCGATACTTTTGCATTTAGTTTCAGAGCCTGAACTATGGTCATATTCACAACTTGAATTTAACTGCCCAACTCCAAGGAAAATTCATATTCAAAATTAGATTGGCCAGTAATTACTATAATTCTAAAATATATATACACTGAGCCCTTGATGTTCAATGTCTTCTGCTGTTCATAAAATCAAGTTCATTGGAGTACCCATCCTTTTATAGTTCTTCATATAGTTGATTGTTTAGTGTTTCTTATGCATTCTCAGTTAATTGATAATTTCCAACATGTTATAGAAACTGCCATATATGTGTGGTAACATCGCAAGATATATGCCCACTGCAGCTTGATTTATTAATATATAAAAAGATTATAACTACATCAAGATGGCATTTGCAAAGAAGAAAAATTAAATATAATTATTTACTACATTTTTGTTATTACCTTTACAAAAATTCTTAGTATGAAGTAAGGGTAGGGGGGCTTGCATTAAAAATAAAATAAAAACTAGACTGATATTACTTATATTTTCAAGAGCTTGGTTCAGCCTCACTTGTAATTATGGTAAATCTTGAATATATTTTACATTTCTTTATTGGCTGACAAGGACAGGTCAATGGTGAAATGTTGAGTCATTTTGGTAAATGCAATTATGCTTATGTAAGGACATTGATCTTTATTAGTAAAGGACTAGGACAAAAAAAATAATAAAAATCAAACCTAAGAGCCAAGTTCTTGAAAAGCTGTAAACGGAACACATATAACAAATCTCTGCTTAATAAATGTATTTCCTGTATTAAAAATAGAAAATCAGCGTTTGCCAGTAAGCAATCAATCTGGATTGCAATGTAAAACATTTTACTGACTCCAAAATATACAAAACGTAGAAATGCTATTGTTAGTGTTTTAGCATCACAAAATTTTGATCCCTGTACCACATCCTTGTTGATTAACGATGGCAGTGGGAATGTTTAAAGTGCTTAGTTGTACAATAGTTGTGCGTGTCTCTGCACAGACATACATCCCAAATTATACAATATACACAAACGTTCTTAATATCATTTCCCCATGATTAGTTAGGTTTAGCTCCAGGTTAAGGGAGATGTACAGTCTTCAGGACCATATTTTTGGCCCGTTCTTCATATTGTTGATTAATCACTAAGTGATTCAGTTATTTTTATTGATCCAACTGGGTTTAATTGAAAATATTCTAAAACCTAGGCTACAGTGGAATATTGGAGAAAGTGTGATTTGCATATATTAGTGCTTAAGGACAAAAAGTAAATATTACATTTATGAAAACATCAGATGACTAGATTGTTAGTGAAGCAAGTAAATTAACTTTGAATGTTTCAGAAACAAGGGCACCACTGTATATTAAAAATTGATTATACATTATATTTGCCTTAAAAAAAATAAAAAACACTCCAAACACCATAATTGCTATGACCTTTTGAAGTTGTTATGGTGCTAGGAGTGCCCCGGTGTTTCCCCAAGGTAAGTAGTCAAACCATTTTAGTACAGTTTGACAGCTTACCAGGATCCTGCCATGTGGTTGCAGCCCTTGCTGCAGGAGAATCTAGTTGGTCATGGAGTGTTAGCTTAGCTCTCTCAGCCATTGACCACAATCCTGCTTTATAGGACATCCAGTTTCTGCCGAAGAAAAGTAGATGTGCTCAAAGTGTACTAAAAAGGTTTGATTACTTGCAGTGAAATGTCGCCACGGCATTCTTTGCACCTTAACCACTGCATCTGGCTCTAGTGGTTGTGGTGCTTGTAGTGTTCCTTTCATTTTGAATACCTTTAAATCCTGCTCTATTGGATGTCCCTCTTTGACTGGAATTGAAAACACAGTCCATGTTCTAGACATTATTGAAGATGGGGGAAAAGCAGTATTTTGGTCTCCAGCCACTATAGGCGTTTTTAATATATACAAATGTGATTTACAGCTGTAATCTAGGTCAGCTACAAGGCTATTATCACAACTGCCAACAATTTTTTTGCTCTTTTCATATTTTATCAATGAATAAAAGCCTCAATTGCTCTGATAAGAATTTACCTATAGAACTATCCATTGTGTGTTTCTTCTGGCAGTGATGTCCTTCAGATTGCAATTGTCTGGCCACTAAAACATTTTCACCATTTAGTCTTCGAATATTTTTAACAATACAAATAATAGTGCAGACAACAAAATTGATTTCACCCCCAAAAATCTAATCAAATTAAAATTAGTACATTGTTATTGTCATTTATATTTTCAGGTTTCAACCAAGAGGGAATATAATTATTTTCCTCTTAAGTTTTACTCTTCCTACATTATAAAGTAAATGCTGCGACTACCCTTACATTTTCAATTCAAAGTTCCATTACAAGGAGCATGCTTAAAGAGCTCTGCCTCTTTTAAAGAAAGATTACTGGTTTATTTTAATGTTGACACAGGAAAAAAAAATAATAAAAAAAAATCTTGGTTTCTCCTATTTTTTTATGGTGTGAGCGTGTAATAGGTAGGACGTGTGTTCAGGGTCAGGCATGCATGAAATGAGTGTGAGGAGTGACTGGGTTTTGGTGGGCGGGAGGGTGGTTTATTATGCTTGGAAAATAGAAAATAAAGTTAAAAATAAAAAAAACTCTGAAAAATAAGGAATATTTTTCCTTAATGTGTAAAAGGTTATTTCTATCAATAAATTAACATGGAAAAATCATGTCTCTGACTTTTTATTTTTTTAACATCATTTCCCAAAAATGAACTTTCAATTATATTTCAATGCATGACATATAGGGTCTACTCTACACCAAATATAATGCTAACATTCTAGTTCCACTTACGACAGTTTCTGCACATATATGACTTTGGTTTTATATTTCTAAAACATTGTAGATGCTGCTTCTGGTGTATCATGCCTTATGTGTATTTAGAGGAACAATATTGTTTTAAATACATACACTATATGGACACAAATATTGGGGACATCTGATCATTACACCTACAGGAACCTTTATAAGATTGGATTCTAAATGCTTGGATATTAATGTGGAGGTGGCATGTAGTTATACCAGTAATATGTAGTTGGTAGCTGTTATACCTTTGCCAGTATAACCACTTTCACTCTTCTGGGAAGACTTTGCACAAGATTTTGGAGTGTTTCTGTTAGAATTTTATCACATGACAGGAGGCTTCTTATTTTGCATAATTCTCTTTACTAAAAACTCCAGCAGCACCGTTCATAAACAGAACAACCAATCAAAAAACAGCTATACATGCCATTAAAGGCCCTGCCAGCATAAACGCCTTCTCTTTCTTTGCTGCTCCTGCTGGACAGGTCAGAGTATTTTGTCCTTGTGATTTCTTACAGTGTTTAGCTAATATTCTTATTTATCGTATTTGTGTTCTCATTTGCTTGATGCTAATTTTATTTTGCACCCACTACTGTCTACTGCCTTTTCAATACCTTATTTGTACTTTCTTTCAGCCTTCCCTGTGGCCTTCTGCTTTTCCTCCACCTCAGATTTGAGCCTGGGGTTTTACTGGCTCTCTCCCCGTTGCTCTATTCTCTCTGTTTTTGGTCTCTAAAATTGTGGGATTCTGTGGGTAGTGGGGCACCCAGCGCTATATTAATGAAAGTTGGCGTGCCCGTAAATGCATGCCTCGTCGCCAGTTGCCAGCGTACGTCGGCCGTCTTGAATCTTGCGAGTATCGTTTTTTGTTCCAGATCGGGATTAATATGATCTGGACACTATGCACCTATACTCACCTGCTTCCACTGCTTTGACTTTCATTTTGAGTCTACCATCAAGGTACTATACAACTACAGTTGCTCCATCTGCTACAAAAACTGTGTCAATTCTGGATCAGCTGCTTGTCATATACATTCACTGTAAAATCTCCTATGATATGTGGCTGAAGGTTTATTATATAGCAGTAAGTGTTCTGTGCCAAGCATCATAGTTGCCATTAGTGAGTGTCCTCCGTTGCACACCGCCTGGAGTGGGACCCTAGATACCATATGATGTGCTCTGCTTAAGCAGAATCTACAGGGGTGATCCCCTTTTTCTCATGGTACCTTAATCTATTCACCACTGAAGACTATTGAATCCAGACATGTTACACAAAACACTCCACCTGGGGTGAGCACCCAGTCAATCATACATATGTTGTGATGAGGCAGGTTTTCAGGTATGATGCCTCTATTATGATACCTCAATACTTTTTTTCCCACATAAGTGAAGCATCTACAGACAGTTTATTGCTGACCATAGGAGCAGTTCTGGCGTACGACTGGGGTGAGCCCCCAATGTCAATACCTGACAATGTTGGCAACAACTGCTATGGCTAGCCCCTCTAGAGTTCATGGTTCTGATCAGGTCACTGATTTACACATAAATTGTCTGGAATTAATTGCTGAATCTTTTGCCATCCACAGCCTAGCCAATTTTATTTAACAAAATGACAGTTAAAATAAAAATAATAATTCTACAGCTCAATACGTCAACAACCTAGAGAAAGGCAGATCCCGAGCCTTGACAGACAACAAAAGACATTTACAGATTCTGCCACTCATGCAAAAACACTCTTCATGCAGAATATCTTCAGAGGATCACCAATCTCACGGCAGACTGATTTTCTCACCTCTGGCGGAACAGGAGTGACTGGTGACTAGACACATTGCTGTCTCTCAGGGGCCCATTGCATGTGGATCTACTTTCCTCCAGGACCAACTGAAACTAGGTCCTTCAATTGGCTTCCGGATCCAGACACTGAGGCGTAGGATGTGTTCCTCCAACATTGGCTGTGCGAAGAAACTTATGCCTTCCCACGGCTCTCCATGCTGGCAAAAGTACTCCATTACACACACCTTCACAGAGTGTCTCTTCTTCTCATCGCTCCCCTCTGGCAGAGCCAGATCTATTAGAACTCTCTGACAACTATCATCTCTTCTTACTATCATTTCCCCTTCTACTGATGAGACCTTGCAGGGAGCCACACCCTCTTGTGAGCAGAGGCTGGTCCTAGTGGTTTGGACGCTTTCATGGGATCCATGGACTAAAATACAAAGAAAGAGGGTAAGTGGAACAAAAGTGCAACAGAAAAGTGCAGGCAAGTCACTAAAAGTATCACTCTCCAAATCCCATTAAAAAAAATAAAAACAACTTGTCTATCCACAACAGGTACACAATATAGGGCACCACAGTCACTTATTGTGGTGTTATAATTACCGCTCAATACATGGTGGTGGTATTTTTTGTTTACATATGCATTTAACCATCTATTGAGTGGTAACTATAACACCACAATAAGTGGCTGTGGCGCCCTCTATTTTGTACCTGTTGTAGACTAAAGATCTTTTATGGGACTCGTGGGCTCCCAACACTAAATTATGCTACATGTCTACTTGGAATTCTTTGAGTAGTTGGTATTTGGAGAGGGGTTCAGATCCCTTTACAACACCTGTTCCTGTCATCCTGAACTATCTATCCCACATCTTTTCGCTGTTCGTTCATTTCGGTCTATAATCTGTTACGTGTGGGGGTCCAGAGACCTGTATGCCTGATGATGGTAGGAGTTACAGTGTGGAAATGAACAATCAGGGTCTGGTGCAGGGTAACCACACGCCCCCTGGTGTTGAGCACCAGGGTTTGTGCGGCCACATACCAGGACCCTGATGCAGCTTCTGAGGATCCCAGAAGCTTGATAATATGCAGATATGTATCCAGTACTAGAAACAAGGCAAGACTAGAATAGGCACCAAATAAGATAACAAGACAAAACTAGAAGAACCCAGAACCGGAGCAGAACAGAAAGCAGAACCCAGAACATATACACAAGACATGAGGGAAACAAGAACAGGACAGGACTGTACATGAACTGGAAATACAAGACAAAATAAAATGAGACAAGAGATACAAGGCAAAAAAAGAGGAGAAATGATTAAGTACTATATATGTAATAAACATTGGAGACTTAGCCATACATAAAGTACTCCAATTACGGTGGGTCCTAACTGCCTAGATATGCATGACTAAAAGTACAACAATAAAACACACACAGTACTTACCTGCAAGGAAAGGACAGAGGAATGAGACCACTGCTAGCAGGAACTCACTGAAACAAAAAGGATAAATGGCAAAGGAACGGGTGTGGCAACACAAAACAAACATATGAAGGAATCCAGGAGACTGGGAATTCCAGGAACCGAATAAAGGCATGAACCCAGAAAACCCAGCATGAAGAAAACCAGACATAGAATAGATAACCAGAAAAACCAAGAAAAACTAAACAAGAATTGTAAAAAGAGTATTGGATATCAGAAGCCATGACCAGAAATATCCGCAGAATGAAACAGGAGGTTACATCAACGTGGTGCGCTCGTCTATCGGCAGCTCACATTTCCCTTCAAGGCACCCTAGTGGGTCAGGACCCTCTGGTTTGTTGTCTTTTGAGAGGTATTAAGTTGTCCAGACACCCTGTACCTAAATATGCCCACCTCTGGGACATGGATTTGCTGCTGCGTTTTTTTGTTTTATTTTTTTTAGGATTGTGGGGTTTGCTCTTCAACAGCTTAGGAATGTGGGGTTGTCTCTTCAACAGCTTTCAGCTTCACTTACCCTATTATGTCTCTGTGACGGAGTGCCCTTCGCCACTTGTGCCTGGAGAGGACTAATTACCAGCCTCTTGCCGTATGACTATTGTCCCTGGGAGATTTTGCCAGTTAGAAACACCATTTGGACTTATTGGTGTTTTAAAAGACTGTTCTGGCCCTTTAAATGGTACTGGCACAGTTCTGCAACTTCCAATAACTGTCATATAATCAAACACTGACTGAATTTAACTGTCATTTTGTTTTCCTCTGAGGAGTTGTTGTTTTGCTGCATGAGTGCTGTTGCTTTTCTGTGCTCATTAAACAGACCTGCTTGACCCTTTCTTGAAGCCTTGGCTCATGCTTGGGGGATAAGTCTGCAGTGCTGATGGTGTCAGTTGGAGTGCTTGGAGTCCTCGGCAAGCACTAGGAGCATCGATTGGCGGAGGTACTGGGTCGGAGTGCCAGCGGGTCCGTCACAGTCTCCTTTTCTATCTTTTTTTTTTTCTGTTCTTTCTCTTGTTTGTGCGTTATAAATACATTTTTATGGTACGTTGAGGTTACTGCACCTTTACAGACTTTGCCTTCGGGCCAGCCTCTGTTTTCTTATGTGGAATCCCCACACTCCGCTCTCGACTTTGGTCTATGGCCGGGATCAATTCCTGATTTGGAGTTATAGGCTTTTTCGGCGGCCTCGTCGATTAGCGACATTATGCGATGTGCGGATTGGACATAGAAGAATACATTCCGTGTGTTTTACTTGAGGCAATCTTCTCACACTTCTTTCACTTTTCTGAATCCTCTGCGTTAAAAAAGTGCAAAATATGAAGCCTCCTGTCGTGTGATAAAATTGTAGATTTTATGACAAGACATGGAGGCTAATATTGCATATCCCTTTCTTTACTGTCCACCAATAGCAGCAAAGGATATAAACAGAATGAAAAAACAATGTCATACTGTGGTGGAATCTCGGTAAAAATAAATTTAGTAGGCCGAGATTACCACGTGGTATGTGTACGTGCATATGCTGACGTATCGATCAGTTGGTTGCACGAGGCAAGATACGATCAGTAGTGTACGGAGCATGTGCAAGAATACAGGATGTAGTATTCCCCTCCTCCATTGTG